GCGGCAGGGGTGATGGTGGGCTCCTACAAGCACCTCCCTCCCTAGCCTGTGTCTCAGCTGCCTTGGAGAAGAATGCCTTCCTTAGCATCAGACCAGCTCCCAGCCTGGCTGATCCCCGCGAAATCTCAACTGGAGACTCTGGGGGCTGAACTGCGGTTGGCTCCTGGGATTGTCTGTGTGAATAAGGGATTCCCCGGCCCTCTCCCGGTTCATGGAGAATTTCCAGATGCAAATGCTGTCCTGGAAAATGAACTGTGGAGCCAGGAACATTCCTTTAAGGAACATATAGGCACCAAGAACTTGAGTGTGCTAACTGGAATGTGATTTATAGTCTGGCCATGCTTAGTAGGAAGTTGTCAAATCCAGGAATTTGAGCTACAGGGTAGGAATTCTTCAGAGCCATAGAGCTCCACAACATCATCTGAGGAAGGCGTCTCCCTGTGCCTCTGCACAGGCTCAGAGAGGCAAATGAATTATCCATTCTCATATAGCAGTCAAATCTAGAATTCAGCATTTGACTTTTCTTCTGATTGTTTTAAAAACAGTCACACACTCCAGATCTCTTCTCATTACCCCTCTCCTCTTCCTCTTCTCTCCTCTCTTCTTTTCCCTCCCTCCCTTCCTTTTTTCCCTCCCTCCCTTCCTTTTTTTCCTTCCTTCCTTCCTTCCTTCCCTCACTCCCTTCCTTCCTTCCTCTCTTCTTTTTCTTTTAGTGCCAGTAGTGAGGTTTAAACTCAGGGTATCATGTTTTTGCTTGTCTCTTTTTTCTCTCTCAAAGCTGGCCCTCTACCATTTGAGTTACACTGCTATCCTTCTACTTCTAGCTTTTTTGCCGGTTAATTGGAGATGAGTCTCCCAGACTTTTCTGCCTGGGCTGGCTCTGAACCATGATCTTCAGATCTGAGCCTTCTGAATAGCTGGGATTGCAGGTGTGAGCCACCAGCTCATCCCAGAAAATTGAGGATAAGTGCTGACTTTGTATAACTTTATTCTGTTACATACTTGCTGTTTCTCTGTAACCCTGGGGTTGCTTGCTGTCCTGTCTCGTGCTAAGACAGGGTACGGGGGCCAGAGAAGTGAGAACAGACAGGGAAAGAGTTAAGCAAGCTGGGAACCAGTGCTCACTGGCTTCTGCACACCAGATTCATATAAGCAAGTCTATTATTTCATATATTACAGGGAAGGTTATCATAGGTAAGTGCAGAAAACAAGACATCAATCTGTTTTGTTATTAGTCATTGGCATGAGACTGAGTTTGTGTATGTATTGAATAACTGGCTCCCTTATTGTTTGGGGGTGAAGCCTGCAACTAGGCATAATTCAAATGTCTATTCTGCTGTATCTGTCTAGCTCTCAGCCCTTCCAGCCCAAAGGAGGTCATTCCAGCCTCTTAACCCTCTCCAGAGCTGTCTGCTTCAATCTTTGCAGGGCCCAGTTATTAGCCTTTGGAGGACTGATGAGGCAGCCTTCCAACCTCTTTCAGGTTCAGAGTTCCCTACATGTGGGATTCCAACGATAGGGCTACAGGTGAGTTTTATTATTTGTTTTATTATTGTTATATATTATTTGTGATTGTTTTCATGTCAATAACATGAGTTCACAGGCCTTCAGCATGGGTTTGCAATGACTCAGTGGTTTAAGCAGACTCCACATTCTCGCTGGCTTCCCGTCACCATTCTGAGGAGGGAGAGTCTCAGCCAAACCAAACTCAGTGCCTTGTGCGCTGGCTCTCCTGATTGGTAGAGATTCTGAATTCCCTCAGGCTTGACATGTATATCAGGAGCATGACACGAGTGACCAATGAGGTGACCCATTATGAGGACTATTCCCAAGAGCGGTGGTCTATATTGGGTGGTCTTTCACCAAGCCATTTGGGGTCCTGACTCAGGGATAGCTGAGGATGTAGAGGAATAGCAGCAATGGGGAGGAGGAGCGGGGATTTGGTGGCCCATCCTGACCATCAGCCCAGTTACCCATGAGTCCGGACGTATGAGTGGGAGGAGCTTTCTTGGTATCTTCCCTTCTCTCACTGTATATCTTCAATAAGTACTCTGAAACAGTGTAGGATAATCATAGCCAGAAAATTGTAATAGTCATCTTGAATCTAAGACTGCTGAGGGATGGGGAGACAATGGGGAGACAGTATGGAGACAATTCTCCCTCGATGGAAACCCAGTCAGGGGAGGTGTTGCTGGTCTTCTAAGCTGACCCTAGGCTCCAAGGTAGAAACTCCATAGGTAGAAATCAGAGTCCGAGGTGGAAACCAGATGAAGCTTGGTAATCCCAGAGCAGAGGTCAGACGGCAGTGGGTAGTGTGGCCCAAAGCTGGTCTTGGGTGTCAGCCTCAGATTATCTCAAGGTTGCTAAGGGAATCCTGTATTTAAAATGATTAAATGGTGAATCCCATGAACTTCCCATGAGACTGGGTGCCAGGCTGGCAAGCTGGAATCCTGCCCTGTGCACTCTTCTTTCTGATCGGTTCCCTACGTTCCCACTTTCTTGGATCTTCCACCAAATAGACTTCTTGCATTCAAATCCTTGTCTTGGGATCTGCCTCTGGAGAAACACACCCAAAGACACAATCGCAGGCACCAGTCACTACGTGATGAGCAGGCCCTCAACCAAACTCTGGGGAGCCACAGAGGATATTTTTTCTGTGAAGGGGGGAGGGAGGGAAGCAGTGACCCAAGCTGAGGCCGTAAGGGTGAGCCAAGTGTAGAGTTGGATGGGGAGAAGTCAAATGCTGGTCATGTGTGAGGGGATGGGGCAGTTTATGAACTGGGTAAATAGGAGAGAGAACTGTCCATCGGGCATGCAGTTTTGGGACATGGATCAAGATAGAAGAGCCACAGCTTCTATCTGCAGCCACTCTGAGCTGGTTCTGTGATTTGTTCACTGGCATGTCGGGATGTGTAGGTGACATCCGTGACAGTTCTGAGCACACGTGTGAAAGACACATACAACAAAGCACTCATACAGGCAGACTGTTGAAGTCTGAAGTCTGAATATTGGTGTTGAAATTTAATCCTTATTGGGACGATTTTGAGAGATCAGATCTCTTGGGGGGAGCGATGAAGTCTCACAAGTGCTCTTGCTACAATTTGGATCTTAAATATCTCCCAAGGGGTCATTTGTCAAAGGCTTGATCCCAGAGAGTAGACTACTGAGAGGGGTTGGGCCCTAAGGAGGTGGGGCCTAGAGGAAGGAAGTTAGGTCATTGGGGTCAGGTCCTTGAGTGTGATATTGGGACCACAATGGTGTGAGATATAATTCGCCAGACATTTCTTGTCATACTGTTTTTAGTTTGTTTGTTTTTTTTTTGTCAATTATGGGGCTTGAACTCAGGGGGTGGGTGCTGTCCCTGAGATTTTTTTGCTCAAGGTTAGTATTTTTACTGCTTTGAGCCATCATGTCACTTCTGGTTTTCAAGAGCCTCAACAACTTTCCTGCTCAGGCTGGCTTTTCAATCCTCAGATCTCAGTCTCCTGAGTAGCTGGGATTACAGGCATGAGCCACTGGCACCCAGCTTACTGTTCTATCTTGTCCCCAAAGCAACATACCAAGTGACCATGGCTTGAAATCCAGAACTGTAAGTCAAAGTGACACATTCCTCCTTTGAAGTTGTTTATCTCAGGTATAGTATTTGTCACAGCAACAGAAAGCTGACTAACACAAATCAGTTTTCATGACTGGATTAATGCCTCATGACAAGGCTGGAGGGAATCAGCTTTGGTCTTTCCCTCTTCTTCTATTCTGCCACATGGGGACACAGCAAAAAAGGTCCTCACTGAATACTCAAAGATGATGCTTTGATCCCAAGTCTTTCCAGTTTCCAGAACTGTGAGAAATAGCTTGTCTTTGTCTAGAAATGGTAAGTGACTCTTGGGATTTCTTCCATAGAAGAAAACCCACAGATAGCAAGAAGCATAGAGTTCAATACTCTAAAATTACTCCAGTGTGCCTATTCTGTAATACAGTATACCCAAGCACCCATAACTTGAAATTGCATGGAGTAGGTTGTGTTGCTATTACAAAAGTACGCTTGTACCTATTAATACTGAAACTACATGTAGTTTCATGCTTTACTGTGGCTGCTTGAGTCACTTTTTTCCCTTATACCTGTTCTGTTTCTACTAAACACATGCTACTTTTTGATAAATCAAAAATTTCCACTTTGACACTTAAATTAAGCCCCTTATGTGTCCCTTTTTTTTGACTTGAGGGGATTATCGTAACTTTTGCCTTGACTTTTCGTGGGGGGCACTATTTGCTTTTGGGGAAGCAGATTTTTTCTTTCCTTGCTGCTCCCTGGGACCTGAACTCAGGGCCTGGGTGTTGTCTTGTTGTTTCTGTGCTCAAGGCTAACACTCTACCACTTGAGCCACAGCTCCACTTCCAGATTTTCTGGTGCTTAATTGGAGATAAGAGTCTCACAAACTTTCTCGGTCCTGCTGGTTTTGAACCATGATCCTCAGATCTTAGCTTCCTGAGTAGCTAGGATAGTAGGTATTAGCCCCTGGCATCTGGCTCGAGGAGGCAGATTTTTCACAGAATTAAGGGCTGGGAAACACTCATCAGACCAGACAACAATTTAAACACAACTGATGTTTAACCTGGAGCTGAAAGCTTTTCTGCATCAACTAAGCTGGGTAGTGTGTGTGTGTGTGTGTGTGTGTGTGTGTGTGTGTGTGTGTGTGTGAATTAACAAATACTGTTTTGAAATTTCTTTTGATCTTTATTAGTTTTCTGAATGTACTTGGTCAAAACAGTGTATAAGGAATCTGGCAATAAGGTAGAACTCCTGTACCTAGCCTATGGTCATTGGTAATAGCACCACAGAGTAGGGAAGATTGCACATGTCCACATGAGCCCAGCTTGCATGCGGCTGTGTGTCCAATCTGTATGCCCTTGAAGTGCAGATGGACAGGTGTGTGTGGGCACTGGTCTCTATGGTAACCAGTGTTCTTTCCTATCCCCATCCCTGAGCAATATGGGTGGAGTTCTTTATCACTGTTTATTGAAATTTCCCACCAAAGGAAAGGTTTGGGGAAAAGAGAGGAAAGTATCTCTGTTGGACTGAATGGAGGGGCCTCAGGAGAAGAGGGGAAAGTGGCTGGAAGAGAAGGAATAGACAGAAGAATGTCCGGGCCTGGGTTGCAGGGAGGATGTAGGGATTAGGGAAAGAGACCCAGGGCCAAAAGTTCAAACAGGCCAGGGCTGGACTGAAGGCTCTGGTTGAGGGGGTGGTGATGAAGCCTCAGAAAGCTTCATTCCTGGGCCCTGGATCCATCCAAGGCGTCCCCCGCCCCGAAGTACCCGAGGAGCTCAGAGGCAGGTAGGATCCTGGTTAGGATCTGTCTCTGGAGGGAAGAGTAGAAGGCTTCTGTAGTCCTCAGCTGGGATCCGGGCTTGATCCACCAAGCTTCAGAGGAATCTTCTGGGATGCCTTTTCTGCTTCTGACTCCTGCTTTGTCTCTTTTCCTTGCCGGACCCTAGGGACAGACAGCTTAGGAAAAGCCCTGCACCCCGGCCCGTGCTTCCCCCATCTGGTACGTGTAGCCAAAGGCAGAGAGCTCACCAGCTTTCCAAGTCTTCAATCGTCTCTGGCAAGGGCCGATTGAGAGTCTCAAGCAGGAAGAAGGCAGCAAGGCCTCCCAGGAGAGCCATGGTCCCATAGATGACATTGGGAATGAAAGGCTGCACCTCACCAGTGATTTTCACCAGCGGGGCTATCATGCTGCCCACTCGGGCCCATAGGTTACTGGCACCCATACCTGTTTGTCTGGGAGAGTTCAGAGCAGGGATTGGTAGCCTGTGTGTGTGGTTCTTAGAGGATGGCCCTGGGGCAGGAGAATGCCACAGTCCCACATGGCTCTGTCTCCTTTGCCCGTGCCTCACCCCTGGTCCAGTACCTACCGGATGACTGTGGGGTAGAGTTCGCTTGTATAGAGGAAGAGGCAGCTGAAGGAGCTGGACATGCATCCCTTCCCAAACACGGCCACTGCTGTCCTCACCATCTGCATGTCTTCAAAGGGGAGAAAAGTAGAGTGCCATGGAGTTCTGGACCCTCCTTATCAACCCTTTCTCCCTTTTTGCTTCCACTGCCAGGAAGCTCAAACCCAAACATAAGACTGGATAACAGCCTCTTGGCTATTCCGAAATCTATGCCTGTTGTGTTCTGCTTTGTTTCTGATCCCACCCGGCCCCCCTCTTCGGATTCCCTAATCTAATTTATATTTCGCTATTTATGTTGTTCTTCAAGATCTGTCGGAAGCTCATCGATGTTCTCAACAAACATTTATATAAAATAAAAAGTAGCTTCTTGCCGGGCGCTGGTGGCTCACACCTGTAGTTCTAGCTACTCAGGAGATGGAGATCTGAGGATCAGGTTTCAAAGCTAGCCCAGGGCAGGAAAGTTTGTGGGACTCTTATCTCCAATTAATGACAGAAAAAGCTGGTAGTGGCTTAGTGGCTCAACTGGTAGAGCACTAGCCTTGAACATAAAGGAGCTCAGTGCCTAGGCCCAGAGTTCAAGCCCCAGGACCCGCAAAAAAGAAAGAAAGGTAGCTTTTTTTCAAGATCATGGTGGAGTAGGTTGTGTGTGTGTGTGTGTGTGTGTGTGTGTGTGTGCACGTGTGCGTGTGCTTCTTTGAGCATTGGACTCTATTATAGTTCCTCCGCATCATCTCATCTCCTCAGCAAGTAACCTCAGCCAGGACACAGCCACGCCTCAAACATTCCTTCATACGCCATGCTGTTCCAAGTCCAAGTAAGGTCTGGAAAGGAGCTTTGAGAGAATAACGTAAGCTCCGGAGAGATTACAGGGACTCGTTCAAGGCAGCGCAGTGGATTAGAGGCAGGACTAACAGAGCTGGAATCCTAGATCACCCCCACTTTCCGGCCCGGGGCAGCATCCTCCACGACCCAGCTTCTCACCTAAAGGCACAAAGATGAGACTCAAGATGGCTACTCCCGCCAGGAGCAGGACAGCAGCCAGAGTGATGCGCCGGCCCAGATAGGATATAGAGAGGATGGTGACGAACTTGGCTGGGATGTCCACTCCGCCAAAGATGATCTGGAGAATGTAGAGGTTGACTCCAAATTCTTCTACCCCCATAGCCAAACTGTAGTAGGCAAAACCAGTGGAAAACCTGAAGGACAGAGATGGATTGGCTGGCACCTTCATGTCTCAGCCAGGCTGAGGCCTCTTCCCGTACTGGTCATTGGTTCCCCAGAGTGGATGGATGAATAGCTTCATTTCTTGTACCATCTACAATGGATTGCATTCTGTTTACATGTGACTTTGTGGCTTGAGGGATTGTGTTTGGATTTAGTGGGAGAGTTCTGGGATCGATTGACCATGTCTGACACGGGAATGGTCTAGAGGGTCATGGCAAGGATGCTCACAATTGACCCCTCCTACCCACCCAGAGAATAACAGGACTGGAGGGACTCCAGGTTCATCATCCTGGCCTTGGCAGGTGTGGATAGAGATGGGTGGTGACTTACCAGGCTATGGCGAGGCAGAAGGTCATGCGGCGCAGGGTGGGTATCCGGACCAAGTCAGCTAAGCCATACTTCACCTTGGCCAAGGAGATGTCCTTCTGTAGGTTGTGTTTCAGCTCCTTGGAACACAGGAGAAGGAAAGGTGTGGCAGAGGAAGGGAGGGGAATGCAGGCCTGCTGCCTTGAGAGGGCCCATTTGGGGAACCAGATGGAATGTGGACTGGGGGCCAAGGAAACAGAGGCAAGTGGAGAGACTGGCCCCCAAGCACTGGGCCTAACCTCCAACTGTAAGCCTCCCCCACACCAACCTCCAAGCTGAGCTTTTCCCCTTCCTCCTTCTTGCCATTGTAGGCAGCCACTCGCCGGAGCGTCTTCAGGGCCTTGGAAGACTTTCCATTCAGGACCATCCAGCGGATAGACTCTGGGGTCCACCTGGGGAAGGATAGAGTCAAATCCTAATGGCTCCCCCATTCCAGAGGACTCCCCCCCACACACACACCTTGAGAGACCGAAGGAATGTCAGTCATCAGATAGGGGAACTAGGAAATCTGATCCATCTGGCTGTGGAGTCTATGGAACTTAGACTTGGCCCAGCTTTGCACCTGGGCTGCCTGTAGCCAGGATAAATTCCAGCATCATCTCTCTTTCTCTCTCTCTCTTTCCTAGTCTAGAAGAGCCTTTCCTCTGCCCCCTACATGGGTTGCTTGTTGTTGTTGGGTATCTTCCTCTGCCAGGAAGCCCCAGGCCATAGGCGTAGGTCGCCTGAAGAGGGGACACGTTCCAGGCTGCGCATCTGGAGGGTCCTGTTCCTCTACCTCCCCAGCCTTGTGTGGGGCTCAGTTTCTCATTCCTTTGGGGGACAAAGGGCAGGATCATAGTCCCTGCACTCTCAGGGGGTGTGTGGCTATCTGTGGCCTTCTATTGTCTGTTTCCTGAGCCCGCTGTCTCCAAGATTACCAAAGGCTTCCTCCCACACATCGTGGCCAGGACCTGGGCTTCAGCCTCCTCAAGTTGAGACTGGCACTGTGGCTTCCAATTAGTGAGTAGCAGGGGATCGAATCCCCAGCTGACCTAGGAAAACTTTGAGGCTCAGAGTGGGTGAGACTTGCCCAAGTTATAGTTTTTTTTTTCTTTTGCAAATATTGGGGCTTGAATAATTCCTCCTCCTCTTCCCCCTCCCCCTCCTCTCCCTCCTCCTCCTTTTCCTCCTCTTCCTCCTCCTCCTCTTCTTCCTCCTCCATCTCTTTTTCTTCTTCCTCCTCCTCCTCAAAGCTGGAAAAGCTGGCATTTTACCACTTGAGCCATACCTCCACTGGAGTTTTGCCAGTTAATTGGAGATACGATTCTCATGGACTCTTCTGCCCAGACCAGCTTTGGAACTTGATCCTCAGATCTCAGTCTTCAGAGTAGTGAGGATTACAGGTGTGTGGACCACTAGTAGCCAGCCCAATTATACAATTAAGAGACTAAGCTCTCAATTGTACTCTGCTGAACCCCGTGCTCCTGTTTTGCCTCCTATTCCTTCTCTGCTCCCAGCTTAGCCTGTTGACAGGCCTCTGGTTCTACCCCAGGCCCACTCACCATCTCCCTCTCTCCCCCCTCCCTCCCTCCCTCCCTCCCTCCCTCCCATTCCTCTCTCCCCTTCTCCTCTCTCCCCTTCTCCCTCTCCTTCTCATTGCCCTCTCTAGGAACTTCTCTTTTCATTTCATTTCCATGTAACCTTGCAGAATTGGTTTCTTCTCTGAGCCTCAGTTTTCTTATCTAGTAAATGGGGACATTCATTCCCCGATCCCACAGTGAGTGATGCCATAAAGGTCAGAGACGACCGAGGCTGATGTCTGGAATGGGGCCTGTGCTTAATAAGAAATGCTCAACCAAGGTTGCTCTAAGATTTCAGACTCTCCAGGGCCTACTTGTCAGTTCCAGGACTGGGGCTCCAGCAATGCTTTCCTGAGGCCCAGCTCCTCCTTGGAGCTTGGCTTTGGGTTGGACACGTCGGTAATGTTCATGCCGGTGTCGCTCAGGCACTTCAATTGGCCCAGGTTCCCAAGCTGAGACTCCCGCTTGAGTTTTCCTTTCTTTCCTATTTCAAATTCTGAAGTCTCCCTCATTGTGAAGATTCTTCCTCCACATTTATCTTTCAGATTTGTTCCCCGAAATCTCTCTTCTGTTGTTTGTCCCCCTCCCATGTGGGTCTATTCTGGGCTATTCTTTCACCAGCAGAACCTTGTCCAGGCCTGGTAGAACCCTCTGGAAGCTTTCCACATGAATATGATACCTCACTTTCCCCGTCCCATCTACCTTGACTCACCCCCCCCCCCCTTCAGCTGCAGGGAATTTCCAAGTGTCCCCCACACACCTGTTTCCTCCTGCAACATGCGTTTTCTTTTTCGTTCTATTAAAAAATTTTAGTGCTAGTCCTGGGGCTTGAACTCAGCGCTTGGGTGTCACCCCTGAGCCTCTTTTTCTCAAGGCTAGCACTCTACCACTTGAGCCCCAGAGCCACTTCCAGCTTTTCCTGAGTAGTTTTTTGGAGATAAGAGTCTCACAGACTTTCTTGCCTGAGCTGGCTTTGAACCACAATCCTTAAATCTCAGCCTCCCAAGTAGCTAGGATGATAGGTGTGAGCCATCAGCACCCAGCCCTGCAACTTGCTTTTATGTACGTAGCTCCTTCTCCCTGGTGTGACCTTTCTGGGAACAGGGTGTTGGGGACAGGGTTGGCCACCTAGGTTATCAATGAGATCCCCTCATTTGGTTCTGGGGGCAGTGTCCTGGTGGGGGGTGTATGATGGGAGGGGGGGAGAAAGGGAGGGTCACATACCACGATGACAGGGCGAAGATGAAGTAGGGAGCAGACACAGTGAACTGTAGCCAGCGCCACTTGGGGACAGCATAGGCCAGGCCGGACAGAATGAACTGGCCAAAGGTGTAGAAGTACCCGATTGCTGTAGACGAGATGGCCCTCATCCAAGTGGGGACCCACTCCACATCTGTGAGAGGAGATCAAGGACCAGGCTAGATAGAGTCCCGATACCCCTCCCCGCCCTCCCACCCCGCCCCGCCCCACCCCGCCCCAACAAGAAGGGGCACCAGCTTCTGCTTCCCGTTAGCTATGTGACTCTGTCCTGGTTCCAATGGTTTGCAGGTGCTATAGCTGCGGCTCAAAGATACAGGACTCAAGCCTGGGTTCAACTTCTTCCCAGCCTGTACTCCTTTATTTGTGAGTATGTGCCAGTACTGGGACTTGGACTCAGGGCCTTGTGTTCTTGCTGGGTTTTTACATTCAAAGCTGGTACTCAGCCAGGCTCTAGTAGCTCACGCCTATAATCCTAGCTACTCAGGAGGCTAAGATCTGAGGATTGGGGTTTGAAGCCAGCCCAGGCAGGAGAGTCCATGAGACTCTTATCTCCAATTAATCACAGAAAAAGCTGGGAGTGGAGCAGTGGCTCAAGTGGTAGAATACTAGCTTTGAGCAAAAGGAGCTCAGGGACAGCACCCAAGCCCAGAGTTCAAGCCCTAGGACTGGCAAAAAAAAAAAAGGAGTCTCACAGACTTTCCTGCCCAGGTTGGCTTTGAAATGCAACCCTCAGATCTTAGCCTCCTGAGTAGGTAGGATTTCAGGTGTGAGCCACTAGCGCCCAGTTTTCAGTTTATCCACTTGACCACCGCTTCTCCACTGGCAAGTGACTTCCTTTGTTTTGCTTTGATTTCCTCATCCGTATATTAGATATAATAGTTTTACACCCCCACCCCCACCTTGTCCCTTTGTGAATAGGTTGAATGAAACTGTGTGTGCCTAGCAGAGTGCTAGGCCCAGGGTACATTCTCAATATTGAGCTGCCATTATTCTGTTTGTGGTTATGTCCAGTTAGGGCCTCTGCAGTTCTGAGTGGGGTGATACATTGACCATAGGAGCTCTCTGATGGAAGCAGACTTAGGCCCAATCTCTCTTAGCTTCTGCCTAGAGCTATCCAAGGCCCCGTTCCTCGGCCCCTCCCACCGGTGTGGCTCACTCAAGATGACAGTGCTGAGGGTAATGCCGGAGATGCTACAGCCACACAGGAAGCGTAACAGCATGTAGACTAGGAGGGTGGGGCTGAAGGCAGCTCCCGAGCCGCTGGCCGCCAGCAGTAGGTAGCTGCATGTCAGGATGGGCTTCCGACCAAACCTGCAGCTCAAAGGAAAGGAAGGGCCAGGGCCAGTGACTCTGAGGCTGTGGGACAAAGGGCTGCCTCCCCTCCTCCTCCACCAGGACCCAGTAGAGCATATGACTCCCTCCCTCCCCTAGACAGAGCCTTGCTGGTAATTGCTGTTTTCATTAACAAGTTGGTGGAGTGCCGAGTTAATGAGTTATTTTTTTCCACCTCTAGTTTAGCTGACTGAGCAGAGGTCAAAGGACCAGTTATCTCTAAGCAGCCTTTCGCAGCTCCCCGGTTTGTCTCAGCAGCTTTTAGGCCACAGAGCCACCGATGGTTTTCTGTTGGGTCTGGGGAGACCAGAGACTTCAAGGAGAAATGAGATGTGATCAAGGCCCACCCCTCCCCCCTCCCAAGGCTCACCTGTCAGAGAGTTCTCCAAACACGGGACCTCCAATCAGTATGCCCGCCATGAAGATAGACTGGGCCATCTCTTTCAGTTTGCCAGAGCTGCACACTAAATCCCACTGCACAAGAATAAGGAAGGGCCAACCCGGCTTAGCACAGACCCTCCCTCACACATGGGCCCTTCTGCCACTACCCTGTCCTGCACCCCTGCTTCCCTGCCCTGCCTCCTGGCACCAATTCCTCTTTCTACTTGATCCAGGCTCCTTAGGTTTGCCTGTGGCTCTAAGGTCCCTAACCCATATCTATATCTATCTATAGATATAGATAGTCTGTGTGAGTGTGTGTGTGTGTGTGTGTGTGTGTGTGTGTGTGTGTGTGTGTGTGTGTGTGTGCGTGCACGCACCATTACTCAGGGCCTAGGTGATGTCCTTTAGCTTTTTCACGCAAGGTTAGTGCTCTATCACTTTGAGCCACAGCATTGATTTTCTGGTGGTGAATTGGAGATAAGAATCTCATGGTGGGCTGGGAAGGTGGCTTAGTGGTAGAGTGCTTGCCTAGCATGCATGAAGCCCTGGGTTTGATTCCTCAGTACCACATAAGCAGAAAAAGTCAGAAGTGGTGCTGTGGCTCAAATGGTAGAGCACTAGCCTTTAGCACAGAGAGGTTCAGGGACAGAGCCCAGGCCTGGAGTTCAAGCCCCAGGACTGGCAAAAAATAAAAAAAAGAATCTCATGGACTTTTCTATCTAGGGTGGCTTTGAACTGCAATCCTTAGATCTTAGCCTGCTGAATTGCTAGGATTACAGACATGAGCCACTGGCACCCAGCAACTTCTGACTTTTTGGTGGTTAATTGGAGATAAGATTCTCACAGATTTTCCTGCCTGAGCTGGCTTCCAACCTCAACCCTCAGATGTCAGTCTCTTGCACAGCTAAGATTATAGACGTGAGCCACTGATTCCCCGCCCTGACACACAGATGTTTGAATACTACATCCCTCAAGTATGTGTGGTCTGTCATGCGGCTTTCCAAGTCTGTTAGGCTGGCCCATTCACATCTGTCCATAACCTCCTCCCTTCAGTCCTGCCTATGTCCCCATGGCTCCTCTCTACCTCTTCTCTTCCCCCGTAAATACAAGGCCAGTCAGCCTGTACCCTTGACTGCATCCTCTGTCCCCACAGGGACATTGCTCTATTATAGCCACCACCTTCCAGCCCACACCTTCAGTCTTTCTCTCTCCTGACTTGTATGTGTTCAGGTTTCTTCCTCTTGCCAGGCACTGCTGGCTCATGCTTATAATCCTGGCTACTCAGAAGGCTGAGCTCTAAGGATCAAGGTTCAAAGGCAGCCCAAGGAGACAAATCTTTGAGTTTCTTATTTCTCACTAACCACTTAGCAAAGTGATAGTTTTATAGATGTTTCTATTAATTATTCACATGTTACTTTATAAATTAGGTAGCTGTTAAAATAGACAGTTTGAATTGTTCTATTTAGAATTGCACCTTGGAAATCATTTTGCTGATAGTAGTACTTAAGTTATGCTTTTTCTTTCTTTTCTTTTTTTTTTCTGGTCATGGGGCCTGAACTCTGGGCCTGGATGCTGTCCCTCAGCTTTTCAGCTCATGGCAAGTGCTCTACCACTTGAGCCACAGCACCACTTCTGGCTTTTTCTTTCTGCTTATGTGGTGCTGAGGAATCAAACCTAGGACCTCATGCATGCAAGGCAAACATTCTACAAGCCACCTGTCTGGGGCTCTTTTTTTCTTTTTAAATCAATACAGTTGGGGCTTCTGTATCCTAACCTGCTAATCTTGGCAGTTGTAGACATTACTAGCTTCTACTGTTACTTTGTTTCTTCTTGCTTCTACTCTTTCTTCTACTTTTTCTTTTCCTTCCTGGGCTCTATCTACTTACCAAGCCCCTAAACTTCCCCAGGACTCCTTCTAGATCCTCCTCTCTATTGACTTTCCCCAGGCCCTGCCACTTGCTCCTACGGCTGAAACTGCTATTTGTGCTAAAGATCCCAAGTCCACATCTCCAACCCAACCTCTCTTTTGGCCTCCAGACCAGGAGATTTCTGCTTGAAAATGCAACCTTGCTGGGTGCTAATACTAATCCTAGTTACTTAAAAAGCTGGGATCTGGAAGATCACAGTTTGAAGCCAGCCTAGGCAGAAAAGACAAGATTCCATCTCCAGAATAACTAGCAAAAAAGCCAGGCTGGAGGCATGGCTCAAGTGGTAGAGCAAGCTCAGCAAGCACGAGGCCCTGTGTAACTAGTAAATAAAGCCATTTAGATGATATCACAGGGACATCATAGACTCTCTTGTCACTTCTCAATGACTGGCAGCCTTCTCATTTAAAAATAGTTATTTAAAAACTTAGCCAGGTGCCAGTGGCTCATGCATGTAATCCTAGCTACTCTGGAGGCTGAGATCTGAGGATCACAGTTTGAAGCCAGCCTGGGCAGGAAAGTCTGTGAGACTCTTTATCTTCAATTAACAAGTAAAAAGCCAGAAGTGGAGCTGTGGCTCAAGTGGTAGAGCACTTACCTTGAACTGAAAACCTCAGGGACAGTACCCAGGCCCTGAGTTCAAGTCCTAGGACTGGCACAGACAAAAAATATTGCTTGAATCTGGATTCTTATATTTTTCACTACTGTCCTAGTCTAGGTTTTAGCATTTGTCCTTGGCTTGTAGTGACAGCTGATATTTACAAAGGACTTACTAAGTACCAGGCTCTGTTCTAAACAAGCTCTTTCTGTATTTTACCTTTATTTTTCCTGTCCTGGCATTTGAACTGAGGGCACCAGGCTGGCTAGGCAGACCCTCTGTTGCTAGAACCATGTCTCTAGGTCTTTTTTGCTTTAATTATTTTTCTGGTAGTGATATGAGATTTTGTCCGGGGCTTGTCTTGGACTATGAACCTCTTACTGATGCTGTAGCTGGGATTATAGTTGTGCATCACCCAGCTTGTTTGTTGAGATAGAATCTCATTTAGTTTGTATGCCAGCTCTGGGGCTTGAACCTGGGCACTGTCCCTATATTTTTTTCCATTTAAGGCTAGTACTCTACCACTTGCATCACAGCTCCATTTCTGGCTTTTTGGTGGTTAAATGGAGATGAGTCTCACAGACTTTCCTACCCTGAGTGGCTGCAAACTGTGACTCTCAGTGTTCAGCCTCCTGAATAGCTAGGATTATAGGTGTGAGTCACGGGTGACTGGCTGGAATCTCACTTTTTGCCTTCACTGGCCTCAAACCTCCTGATCTTTATCTCCTGAGTAGAAGTGTAAGCCTCCATTCGCAGCCCTAACTTCTTTAATCTTCCCAACAATCTTCTTGTGTTTCCCATTTTATAGATGAGGAAACAGACATACAGGGGTGACTGTGACAGATTGAGTGTGTGTGTGTGTGTGTGTGTGTGTGTGTGTGTGTGTATACTAGGTCTTCAACTCAGGACTTTTTCCACTCAAGGCTAGATCTCTCTACGTGAGCCATACCTCCATTTCTGGCTTTTTGGTGGTGGCTAATTTTAGATAAGAGCCTCATGGACTTTCCTGCCCAAGTTGATTTTGAACAGCAATCTTCAGATCAGCCTCGTCAGTAGCTACGACTATGGGCATGAGCCAGTAGTGCCTGGCTATGACAAACTTCATTCTTATTTCTTCTTTGCTATTCTCTCCCTGATGATCAGAATTGCTTTGGACACTTCTGTCTCCAATCAAGTTTCTGTTTTACCAAAAGTTCTCACTGGCTTCCTCTTGCCTTTTGTGTAAAGCTCTGTGGACAAGTTTACAAAGCTTTCTGTGCTCTGATCTTGGCCTGGCTGTCTGCGCTAATCTGTTAATACCAGCATTCACCCTTTGCTCCAGCCATCACGAACGACTTGTGTAATGAGGGCTTAGAAATGCCTCCTAAGAATGTTTTGGACATAAAACAGGATAGGGGCAGAGCCACACAGCCCAGGGAACTCTTCTACTTTCTTCTTCTGAAATCAAGAGAGGGTGAAGGTCGATAAAGACTCCAGGTCCCAAAGTTGTCCCAGAGTAGACCAGAGTGGCCCAGTAAACCTGCAATCCCTTCTAGCTAGGAAGGTTGGCAGAGGAGGGAAAAGATAAAGGAGGAAGTAATAGTAGGTAGCTTGAGAGACTGCTGATACTTTGTGGCATGCTGTGTGTTGAAGCCCTGAAGGAAAAATCTACAGGAAAAGATCTACCGTCAATCTCCCATTTCCCCGGTGACCTTGAAGGTGGGTGGCTCTTGATAAAGAAATGGTAGAAGATACGTTGGCTACTTTTCATTTGCTTCAGAGGAAATCCCTGGCCTGGACTTGGGTTCTTTCTCCCTTCCTGTGGATAGGAATGGCGAGGGCAGGAATAAGGCTGAAAGCAGATATTGAAGATAGCAGAGCAGTAAGAAAGGGAAGCCTATCTATATTCTTTAAGCCATGAATTATAATTGATTCTTTTGTTACAGTGACATAGCCTATCTGGATGTATCCCACAAGAGATTGCAAATGAAAATTAGATTTACATCTTAATCTTCATGATACTAAATAGTTTTAAGAAATCAAGGATCTAGAAGTGGCTCAAAGTGGTAGAGCTCTAGCCTTGAGGGAAAGAGCTCAAGGACAGCGCCCAGGTCTTGAGTTCAAGTTGCATGATGGACCAAAAATCAAAACTGAAAAACAAAAAAAAAAACCATCATGTTGGGGCTGGGAATGTGACTTAGTGGTAGAGTGTTTGTCTACCATGAATGAAGCCCTGGGTTCAATTCCTCAGTACCACATAAACAGAAAAAGCTGGACATGGTCCTGTGGCTCAAGTAGAGTGCTAGCCTTGAGCAAAAGATGCTCGGGGACAGTATGTAGGCCCAGAGTTCAAGCCCCAGGACTGGCAAATAAGTAAATAAATAAATAAAATCAAGAATCTAGTCAGTACAAATAACTTACACCTGTAATCCTGGTTCAAAGCCAACCCGGGCAGTAACATCCATGAGACTCATCTCCAATTAACTACCAAAAATTCTGGGAGTGAAGCTGTGGCTCAAGTGGTTCAGTGTTAGTTTTGAGCACAAAAGCTCAGGGACAATGTCTAGGCCCTGAGTTTAAACCCCAGAACC